CGATACAGCAGGATTTATTTGTGTCATATACCAGCTATGCTATAGGTCCAACCACTAAATTCAGTTTACAACACTAGTAATTGTTCAACATAGAAAGATCTATTGCTCTCACTTCATCTTATCATATGCTTATTTTTGGAATGTTTACTTACAATGATGATAATGCTGATGATATCAGTCCCTTATATGATTTATGCTAATCACTTGATGATGTAAGAGGTACTGTTCTAGTGACCTTAAATGTACCAACTCATTTAATACTCCATACATTCTTATGAGAAAGGTATTCTTACTACCTGTCCTATATCTCTATTGCTCTTCATTTAAAAACAAGGAAGGCATAGGGAGACTAAGGTATGTCTCATTTTCCTAGGATGATCTCAGTCCAGAGTATTTCCCCTTAACCACTCTGCAGTATTGCTGCCCAAACCAAATATTACCACTTTATATAAGTGTCCACAGAAGCAAATCAGAGAATATTACTGCAGTGCACATGCTGGGAAGTTAAATGGATTACTCATTGATAAAGGGAGTTCCTCTTAAACACTATTGTCTTCAGGTGTGGTGAACCTTTATAGTTGATTATAAATACAATGACAAAGTACTATTGGTGGATCTTGAGAATAATCAAAGCAGTGACTGATAAATCTATAAATGTGAAAGATCTGCTCTCCTGGAATAAGATCCATTTCTTCTCTCTCTCTATTTTCCTGTCCCTTGTAGTAAACAAGAAGAAAAATCAACAGCAAAAGAAAAAAGGGAAGCTGCAAAGGTAATTTTCTCAGAAATGCCGACTTTGTTTCTTGGCAATTTTTCTATATAATAGAATTCTAGTTATCTCATTAGCATAAATTTTTTGTTTGTTTCATGTCTGAAATAAACTAAGAAAACTCTTATCCTTTAAAAAAAGAAAGGGGAGTCTTTATGAAATTTTTCTAATACCAATTTTGCTTTATGATTATTCAAATTTTGAGGTTCATTTTTATAAAAAATATTGAATAGGATAGGAAGAGACCTAAACCCCAAACTGATAACTATGTCCCAACTAAGAATGGTGAGGTGGCCTTAGAACCACTCACAGACATTCACTCCTACAGCACCAGTAGAGAGAAGTAACACAGAGCCTGCAGACACAACACCTATAAGGAACCTTAATATAGATCATGTCTGTACCCTGTTACAACAGAATTGTGAAGCCTAGAAGAGCAATAACAGAGAATGTACTCTATATATACTGCTGCATACAACATCTGACCCACTGGATGGACCCCACTATTGTGAGATCTACAGAGAAAGTGGGATCCTCAAGCACTAACACAACAAGTGTCAAGATACACTATCACCACAGAAACCATAGGAATCTACAAAACCCCCTTGGAAGTAATATTCCATAATAATTATAATATTATGAATATTATAATTATGAATTATAATATTCATAATATTATGAATATTATTATTCATAATAACCTGATGCTCTGGAACATTTCATCAAGAGAGAGCTATGCCCTAAGGGGGTCTTCACATAACAGTGGAAGAGAAATCCATCCCAACAGATGAACAAATACCAATATAGGAACACAAGAATTATGAAAATGAAACAAGAGAATGTGTCACCATAAGGCTCATAATTTACCAGCAATTTATTCCAAAGATTGAGTGGATGAAACATAAGATAAAGAATTTAAAGAATGATTATAAAAGTGACCAACGAACCAGAGAACACAGAAAATTTTGTGAAAAAAAATAAGGAAACAAGTATAGGATATGAATGAGAAACTCAATTAAGAAATAGAAATATTGAGGAAGACCCAGACAGATATCTTAGAAATGAAAGGCACAATCAATGAAATAAAAAATTCAGTTGAAAGTCTCTTCAACAGATTAGATCAGGTAGAAGACAAAATTTCAGTTTGAAGACAAGTTGGCTGACTTTGAATATACACATAAAATTAAAACAACAGATAAGAAACTATGATTAGGTACATAAATCTGGGACAATATTAAGAAACTGAACCTAAGAATAATTGACATTCAGGAAGGAGAGGAAATTCAGACTAATGACATTAATAACCTTTCCAGTGAAATAATGGCAGAAAACTTTTCTGAATCTTGGGAATGAGACAGACATCTATGTATGAGAAGCACTTAGAACCCACAATAAACAAGCTTGCTGGTTTCACACAGTAACCTTATACACAATTTGCATTCAATTCTATTTTTAAAGAACAACTACAAAAGTCTGGACCTAATGATTAGTTGGGAAAGGTTCATTCAACTCTTTTATAATAAATGTTTTTGTTAGCTGCAAGGGTTTCTTATCAGTAATTTATTTTTTATTTATTTATTTTATTTTTTATTTATTTATTTATTTATTTATATATATTTTTTTTATTGGTTGTTCAAATCATTACAAGGCTCTTGACATATCATATTTCAAACATTAGTTTCAAGTGAGTTATGAACTCCCATTTTTACCCCAAATACAGATTGCAGAATCACATCGGTTACACATACACATTTTTACATAATGCCATATCTTATCAGTAATTTAAAACTAAAAATCTGTTTCATCTATTATATTTGATGATTTTCCAAGGCCTCTTTGATATTCCCAATGTTCCTCACCCTTTTTCTCCTTCTCTCCTCTCCTATTGTACCCTCCTGATTTAAATCCTCATTCCCCATCCCTGGACAGGGTTTCACTCTAGGAAAAATGTTGCTTTCTCCCGGGATCATACTTTTTCTGCTCACATCTATAAAGATGAGCATGCTTGTTTTTCCTCTTCTTGGCTTGCTAAAGACAAACCTTGACTCAGCAATTCTCTCTCACCTCTAGGAAGGCTTCCCTATAGGCCCATTGACTCTCCTCACCATGGTTTTTCATAACTCTTACAGATAGATTAAAATATATGTCACGACACAAACATGCATGTTTTCTGTTGAACTCTGCCCAACTCGTCAGCCTGATTTTGCACCATAATTACAGGCATCCTCAGGAGGATGATGATGATGGTTACAGATCTGATGTAACACCAGGACAATTTTGAGTGTATGACTGGAGCTTTGTACTTCTTTACTGATTTATTGCTATATGTTATAACTTTTCCTCACTTTGTCTGTACTGCTATGAATGACTTGTTCCTCACAAGTAGAAAGGATAGAAAACTGACCTGAGAAAATATTTTCTTCATTTTCCAGGAAATCTGCAGGGAATTCCGGAACTACGTGAGAAATGGACTGCTCATATGCACCAGGGAGCATAACCCCGTTTTTGGCCCAGATGGCAAAATTCACGGAAACAAGTGTTCCATGTGTTCTAGTGTGTTGTAGGTATCCACCCCAGCTCTCCCTCTGACTCTTTTCATCACTGTTCATCTTGAGCCTCAGATTCCTCCTACATCTGTAGTATATCTACCATGGACTGTCAACTAGAAAATCTTACAAACACATGGAAAAGACATTAAGTACCACTGAAGTACACAGTGACAGTGTTATTCTCAAGGCAGTCTTCCTTCTATCTTCTAATTAAGTCAAAGGAAAAGTCTCCCTTTAGTGTTGATATGTTTTTAACACTTGACACTCTTTATTTATGACAAAAAGGGGGCAGAAGTTTCATGGTCTGGATTGCATGCTCCTTTTGGTCCCTCTACCTCCTCTGGTATATTACCACTCTGTGAGTATATTCAGATGTGGGTTAAGGTAATCCAGTTGAACAGACGTGTGTGGGGCTGAGACATAAAGATTGTTATAATAACCTGAAGAAGACAGAGAAGTGGAATAGAGAGGATTGTGTCTTACCCTTTCAGGGAAAGTGCTAGACACAGATGAAATGCACACTTTGAAAAGTGTATTAGTGTGGCGGGAAACCCCTGAGAGTCAGGTTCATGTGCCACATTTGTACTGAAATGTTAAGTCAGGTCAGAGCTTGCTAGACCTTTCTGTTTGTTCGTGCTATGGATAAACCTGAGGGCTGGAGCTCTACTGTGTGGGGCATTAGAGAAGCTGAGTTTTATCAATTCTAATTCCTTCCTTGTTAGACTGCCAATTCCCTCTTGAACATCACTCTAAAATAAATGTGGAGAAAAATATTTAAATGTCTGTTTAAAGAAACAACAACAACAAAATAGTCTCCAATTACACAGGTCTTATCTTAAGTGTATGCAGGTAATTTCTTAAAAAGAAAGATTAACAGAGTGACACATTAGATTAAATAGTGACTGGGCAGACAAGAAATCAGGATTTTTCTCTCATCTTTTCCATTTGCTGGTGCTATGGTAATAACCAGAGGTGGTAAATACTCACAATGTCCAGCATGACATGACACATGTCAGAGGGAAATGACAAGAGAATGAAAGCATTAAGCTTGTGATCAAACCTCAAAAAAGGAGCTGCTACTGAGCTTGGTGGCACACACCTATAATCTCAGTGGCTCCAAAGGCTGAGGCCGGAGGATCATGAGTTCAAATCCAGGCTCAGCAACTTAGCTAGACCCTAAGCAACTTAGTGAGAACCTGTCTCTAACTAAATAATAAAAAGCACTGGTGATGTGGCTTATCTTTGGTACAAAAAAAAAGTAGCTGCTTAATCTTACTGAACTAGGATCACTGTTATGATCTCAAACTAAAATTTCTCTATGAACATTAGATCCTCTAAAATGATATTTAAAATTTGTATTTTATGGTAAAACATGTTTTTTAAACATGGTATCTTTTTTAATACTTTTATTTTGTTCATTATTTATTTTTATGTGATGCTGGGGGTCAAACCCAGTGCCTCACGTGTGCTTGGCAAGTGTTCTACTATTGAGCTACAACCCTAGCCCATAAAACATGTTTTATATGATGATGGGTTTATCATCGAACTTGGCATTACCCTTTGCTCTTGTCCTTGATGTGGTAGTTATTTGTACAGGAAAAGTTTCACAATTAAAAAGAAAGTCAAAACAATCGTGGCTTCTTATAGATCACTGATTGAAGTCATAAAATCTATAGACTATAAGATCAACAGAGAGGCATTAGCTGATTAAATTCGTGCTTTTTTATATTGCTATTTTTTAGAGAGGGGATATAGACTATTTAATTTATCTGTACATTGGCTAAAACAATAGCACTTGTTGGGGTGGGTATAAGTGTCATAAAGACTGTTTGACTTTCATTCTGAAAGCTCCTCATTCCTTCTTGAAACATGCTACCAAAGTCAGTGGAGAATCGTACTCAGCCTGTGATCTTCTATTGCAGCATGCTTGAAGAAGAGGAGAAGAAAAAACATAACGAAGAAGAAACAGAGAAAGTTGAGGCTGAAAAAGTTAAGAGAGAAGCCGTGGAGGTAGTTGTTTTAAATCATCAGAGTCACATACATATTCAATGTCATTCTTCCTCAACCTGTCTCCTACCCCACCAGTCCCAGGGTCTTAGTGTCTGCAAGATGAGGAAATATATTGGATCCCAATGGATTAGAAGACTCCTTTTCTTCTTATATATTAAGCCCAACAGGGCTAATATGCCTGAAGGGCTGTGCCTAGGTCTTTGTCCCTTCTTTCCTTTATCCTTTTCCAGTTTACAAGACCTCATCTCTACTTTTCTCTTACCTCTTACCTGTACTCCCTAGTGTCTATCTTTGATTCTGAGAGAAAAGTAATCATTTAAAAACATTAGGCAAGCCATGTCACCCAAAGGCCTCTCAGCTCAAAGTAAGAACTGAGGTCCTTCTAGTAGCTTACAGGCTAGGCTTGGTCTGATCCCTGTCACATCTCAGACCTTATTTCCTATTGTTCTACATACCGTTCTTCTGCTGGTTTACACTGACCATCTTGTTGCTTTTTGAACATGCCAAGAATCAATTCATGTCTTTCTGTCTTGTAGAATTCATGATATCATGCTTAAAAATCTGAATTCAGACTTGTGCTCTCAGGGTTCAAATCCTTGCTCTGTCTTCTTACAAGTTAAGTTCAGATAGCTAAAATCTATATGTCTTAATTTCCTCATTTATAAAATGATAATGTTATAATTATTTATAAGAAACTTACGTATGTATAATAGCACAGTGTCTCCCATATCTTTTTTTAACATGTTTTTAGATCTTGATGCACCTTTATTTTATTCATATATTTATATGCGGTGCTGAGAATTGAACCCACACATACTAGGCAAGTGCTCTACCACTGAGCCACAACCTCAGCCATAACTTAAGCACTCAATATGTAATATCTGTTGTTGCTGTATTTATTGTATTTATCTGTGTAATCTCATTACCCAATAGGATGTGTCACATTGCACTATTCACTAATTATTCAACAACTTTGCCTTCTATATGGCTTTGCTCTTAGGAAATTTCCTTGACTAAATAAAAATTCAGGCTCAGAATATACATTAGTTTCTCCCTAAAGATTTCCCCCACTTGAATAATATATTTAATAACTCTATCATTTATTATGCAAGAAAATGCCTTTATTTTTACAAAATTTGCTTCTTATAATTTCTTTTTTTTTTCTAAAAAAGTAAACACTTTGTATTAGTTTTCTATGTTTGCTACAACAAAATACCACAACTTGGTGGCTTAAAGCAATGTAAATTTCTTATCTATGATTTTGTAGGATAGAAGTTAGACAAACATACCAGTTGGGCTAACATCCAATGTTAGCAGGGCAGCTTGCCTCTCTGGAATCTCTAGGGAAGAATCCATGTCCTGCTCTGCAGCTTCTGGAGGCCATTTGTGTTGCACATGCTTGGACTCCTTCCTCCATCTCACAGCCAGCAACACTGCATCTCTCTGACTATTCCTCTGTGATCATATCTCACTCTCTATTCTGTCTCATCCTTTCAATTTTAGGGGTTGGTTCTTGAGATGAAGCCCATTAGGGTAACCCAAGATACTCTGTTCATCTAAAGGCCTTTAACCTTATCTTTGTCATGTAAGGTAATCTATTCACTGGTCCCAGGTAGTAGGACTTGGACATATTGGTGAGAGTGAGAGTTATTATTCTGCATACCGCAAATTCCTTTGCAAATTTAAGAGACAATAAATTGTGCTTTGTATCTGCCACAGTACTTGCTTCAGAATAATGTTTGAATTGAAGAGTTTCTAAAGAGATGAATACAACTGCTTTATATTCCAATTAATGTATGGCTTAGGCCACTGAGAAAAAAATCTTGGCTAATATTCTCCTTCTGCATCATGTTTTCTATGCATTCATTATGCTGTAGGGCATTGTGTTTTAGTTTTCAAAAGGGTAAGTGGAGGAAGGTTTCCAGTGCTTTGTCGTCTGATTCTGAAACCATCCTCCTTTTGGCAGAAGCTGTGCAGTGAATACCGTCAGTATGTGAAGGATGGGCGGCTCCCCTGCACCAGAGAGAATGACCCCATTGAGGGCCTGGATGGGAAAATCCACGGCAACACTTGCTCCATGTGTGAGGCCTTCTTGTGAGTAGGTCGCAGTCACTGCTGCTGCTGACTGTAGGAGGAAAGCTCCGGTGGGTGAGAGGGTGACCCTGCTGGTCTCTTCAGGAGGTAGATAATGAAGGCTGTATAGGCATTGAGTTTGGAGATTTACTATTTTAAGGTTACATACTTAGCACGCTTTTCTCCTAGTGTCCTGAAAGGTACTTGAATTACCATCAAGGAAGGCCCATGTGCTAAGGGCACATTTCCCTGGAGTTAATGGCATAAAAGGGTTAGGCCTTCTCTTTTCTGCACACAGGGCACAGTTGTGAATAATCCAAAGGTGTAATCTTTGGGTACTAACAAGTAGAAAAGACCTCTCATCAATATCCTAATTTCTTTTTGAGAGAAGGACAATATCTGTATTTTACAAAAGAAATGTCATAGTGAAAATTTGTTTACTGGTTTGCTATTACATGTGTGTCTTATTTTTTAAGAACTATTAAAAACCAGAACCATAGCTGGGCATGGTGGCACATGCCAGTAATCCCAGCTGTAATTCCAGTGGCTCAGGAGGCTGAGGCAGGAGGATTGTGAATTCATAGCCAGCCTCAACAAAATTGAGGCACTAAGCAACTCAGTGAGACTTTGTCTCTAAATAAAATACAAAACAGGGCTGGGGATGTGGCTCAGTGGTCAAGTGACACTTGTACCCCCTCACCCCCAAAAAACCCCAGAACAATGATATGGAGGTATATGCATTTACTTTTTTTCAAGTCCTGAGGTAAATAAACAGAGGTATAGATGTAATGGAATATTCTTACCTAGAGATATTTTCCTTTTAATATACTCTATATTGAGTGCTATGAATGATTCTCCCCTACCCCTCTCTAACAGCCTGCAAGAAGCAAAAGAAAAAGATAATGAATCCAGAGAAAAAATTAAAAGAGAAACTGAAAAGGTAATTGTCCTGGAAAAATACAAAATCAATCCTAATTACTGCTGGTAGTTACTTCCATGATCTTAAGTGATTCATTTATTCTCTATTAGTTTCTCAGATAACTCTAGAGTTTACGTCTATCCAGTAGTGTCTACATGTTAGTAACTGTCCATATTTATACATTTATCACATATTCTAATAATAATCTGGGATATTTATTGAGTACTTAAAACATATTGGCCACTATTATTTTATCCATGTACAATAGGTGCTATTACTTCCTTTTGTAGATGAGATAACTGAAGTATAGAGAGGCAAAAACCTTTACCCAAGGTTCTCTTGATGGAAAATTTGGAATTCTAACTGGCAATGCAGTTATCAGCATAGCATGGTTACCAGGCCACACTTAGGATATTATGCTAAATTTGTTAGGAAAGGGGAAGAATCTGGAGTAGAAAATGGTACTGAAACCACATCATAAACAGAACAACTGAAGTATCTGGATATGTTTAGCTCTTTGAAGAGAATATTCAGAAGCATGAGAGAAGGTCAAGAAAGCTCTCTTCAAATATCTAAAGAACATGCGTGAAAGAGGAAAAATACCATTGATTTTTCAGAAGGATGTAAAAGGCTTCATCTTTGCTTGCAGGCCTGAAGGAACATATCCTACTTTATTAACTTAGGAAAATAAACCTGTTTTCAAAGATTTCCCAAAAGTAGTATTATGGCTAGAATTATCCAGTAAAATTTTTGGAATAAACCATCTGGTAGGTAATGGGGTCCTTATCACCGCATGTCTTCCAGCAGAAATTAAATGACTTCTTGGCAAGTTAGGGATTGAGAGACAGTATGGATGGTCAGACCAGATGAAATTTGAGGATTTATCCAACTCTAATCTTTTAATTCTATGACATGTGCAGCGTTTTTAATTTTGTTTTTTTGCATTATGATGTAATGGAGATAGATAGCAAGCCCCTGAATAAGGACTGCAACCAGTCCTCAGAGAACCCAGTTTGTTAAGAGAGTCTTACTTATGTGTAATTACTGGTTCAGTCTGGATTTGGGGGATAACTTTCAAGGAAAAAGAAACACAGATCTCTTTTTGAGTTCTATGTTCTTAGTAGGAATTGGGTGATAGAATTGTCAGAGAAAGAAATCTCTAGGGTATTTCTTTCCCTCATCCCAGCACCTTTCAGGAAGTACTTAATAGGAACCAACAAAATAATTTCCAAGAACATAACCAAGGTCTTGCCTTTTCTCTTTCTTTTAGGATAACTGTAGTGAATTTCGGAGCCTTTTACAAAATGGAACTCTATTTTGTACACGAGAAAACGATCCTGTGCGTGGCCCAGATGGCAAGACCCATGGCAATAAGTGTGCCATGTGCAAGGCAGTCTTGTGAGTGCACAGATAGAGATCCTGTAGTGGGTTGAGAAAGTAGTTGGGAGGCAAAGCTAGGTAGGAGATGTGTGTGTGTGTGTGTGTGTGTGTGTGTGTGTGTGTGTGGCTTTTTCCTTCCTTACATATAGAAGAAACAAATGATTATCTATCTTGATCTGTAAAGAATTTTTAAGTAAATTTATATATACACACATACACACACACACACACACACACAAACACACACCAAGATTCATAGTTCTAGAAATAGACAATACATTATTAGGTCATTTTCTAGTTCTAGGGTAGAGCCTCGATCACCACTAGATCAGAATATTTTTCTTGATAATATTTAAGTCCTTTGACAAGTCTATCCATTTTCTCGATTATTTTAGAATTCCCACTAGGAATAAGACATGCAGATTTTACTGTAAATTTGAGTTTTCAATTTACAATTTTGGAAATATCACATTTTGGGAAATAAAACATTTAGAAGTACATCTAAAATATTTAATTCATTCCATAGCAATTTTCTGAACATGTCTAACATATAGCATATCTAATGATTACACACAGATGAATGAAACAAACTCTCAGAAATCATATAGGCCCCTAGGTATTAGATATAGACATGAGCTAATATAACATTAAAGGAATTGTTAAATGAAAAATGTTGGTATGGTACTTCAGAAAAAGCACAACTAATATAAAGTTCTAAGTGAAATTAGAACTGAACCTTGCAGTTTGGATCAGGTGTAGACATGACAGGAAGGAATGAAAAAAGAGTGAAATAGCAGAGGTGAGGACCTCAGTTAAGAAATCTATATTATGTCAAGAGCAAGGCATTTAGTTTAATTAGAATTTACCAATTTACCACATTTGAATGACAAATCAAGGATTCTGGGGTCAATTCTACATCTAGGAAGCTGCTGAAATGGTTTCAGGTAGGAGAGGAGGTGGCCAAAATGTGGTCCCTTTAGGAAGATCCATTTGCTCGCAGTAAAATTGAGAAAGAAAAGGAAGGGCCCAAAATTCAGAATGCTACTGGAGGAGAGTGAGGGGAAAGGGTTGCAGTAATCCAGTGAGAGACAACTAGAGTGCAGGAGCAGGGTAGAAGGTTAGTGGATCAAGGGGGAAGAATGTGAAGGTGAATTCAAGGTTATGTGGCCACAGCTATACCAGCTGAGAGAAGAGCCCTCAGAGGAGATTCCAATACTTTGTTCTTCCAGAAAAGCAGAGAATCCAAGAGGATGGTAATGCTTGGTAGAGAAGATAATTATTTTGTCCGGGGGGGGGGGAAGGCCTCTTAAACATGAGGTATTTATAAGAAATACAGCTGGAAATCCCTAGTTAACACTTAGGAAATGCTAATTAATGGCTCACCTTGCCTGGTTTGTGATTATGTGTATGCTGGTTTTCTGTACTGTATGAAAGCTTTCAGGCAGAGGACTCCACCCAATTCTTCCCTTTTATTTTTGGACAAGAGGGTCTGTAACATAGTATATATGAAGTAAGTGCAGGTAGACACTATACAAATCTAACTTGGTCATGTGATGAGAAGCTCATAGAAATATGCTCTGTGTTCTGAAAACTGTTTCTTGCTATCTTCCATTTTCTAATTTCCAGCAAGAAGGAAAACGAAGAAAGAAAGAAGAAAGAAGAGGATGATCAGAGAAATTCTGCAGGACAAGATTCTAATAGTGGAGGAGGGAAAGCTCAAGTAAGAGCGACATCTCTAATGACATAACCAGGGGATGGACTGTGGGCAGTGGGACAATGATAGGTCCTGAAGCAAAGGAGAATATAGGGAGTAATGAGTCAGAAAGGGTGCTTGGAGGAACAGAGTATGTCTCCTAAAGGATGCAGGGTAAGATGTCAGCCATCACAGCTTCTCTAGGGCTCCTTTTGGATTCTCTAAACATGGAAGTAATTAGCCACATGAAGACCTTATCCCAGTTTTCTCCCCCATGTTCTAGTGACCTAGTGCTTCTGTCAGCATATCTTTCACACGCTCTGTATCTTCTTTCACATGCTCTGCATCTTCTTTAATTATTTTTTCTTACCCTGGATGGATCCAAGTCCTGAGGCATCTTTTCTACTGGCCCAAGGCAGCATCACATGGTGAAAGAGCACAGGCTTTGGAGTCTAAGAGTTTGGGATACAGACCTGCTCACTACCACTTGGACCTGTGAAACACTGAATGCATCATTTGTCTCCCTTGTCTAGCAGTACTCTTATAGAGATAAAATAATTTAGGCATGCATTTAGCACATCTTCTGAAACATTTTTAAGTGTCAGCATGACAATATTGCATATAAAGCAACTCCTTGGGCCTGTCAATACAACCTGCTAAGACTACGGCCACCTTATTTATCTTCTTATGACCTTGGAATCTCAAGATCGTTTCTTTGTTTCTAAATCTAAAACATGTCCATATTTTTACCTTTAATGAAATCTGTCCTTTCTTCTTTTTCAATCTCTTCTGCTTGAGGAGGCTAAATTCTCACTCTCAAGTACACCTGTACATATGTTTTATCTGCCTTCTCTGTAATTTGAACAAGCTAGCTTTTCTGATAATTTATGTAACTTTACACTTACCCCCAGCATTTTCTGTAAAAGGCCAGTTAGTAAATATTTTAGGCATGTGGGTGATATGGTGTCTGTTGTAACTCTGCAACTCTGTCATTATTGTTAGAAAGGAACCACAAATAAAGGCTTAAAAAAGGATCAATGATGTGCTTTGATGAAACTATACATGTAGGAGCAGGCAGCAGGACATATTTTGTCTATGGACTATAGTTTGCCCATCTTCGATCTATGCTTTTAAATTGCATACGCAATTTAAATATGCAAGAACTTTTCTCAGGTTGTATAACAAATTTAATGATAATTCAATAGTCTAACCAATTCAGGAGGCCTGCTTTCTTTTCCCTTATTAGGATCCATGTGCTGAGTATCGGGATCATATGCAAAATGGAAAACTCAGCTGTACTCGGGAGAGTGATCCTGTACGTGGTGCTGACGGGAAATCATACAACAACAAATGTGCCATGTGTAAAGAGCTACTGTGAGTGCTTATTACAACAATCATTTCTAAATGATAGGCATGTATTCTCCCTGAATTAATAACTATTTCTAATTTTCTTTGGCTTCCTTCATGAAAATCATTATTTTTGTCATTTCCAAAATATTAGCTCTTTCTCTTGCATTTCCTAAGAAATATGGACCCTAGGGGGCAGCTAATCAAGTGGCTGGTGCCCACATTGTTTTTTATTATAATTCTGTGTGACTTCCAAATGCTGTTATTGATAGAGCTGTTCTTCAATTATGCCTGAACCCTAGGAGGACTTCATGATGGTCACTTGGAATAGCCAATTCATATAACTCAAGAGAGCTTATTTCCTGTTGTATTTATGGCACACTTATTGCTCTTTCTTTTACCTTGGTTCATGGTACTGAATTAGCATGCTTTATGACCCAGTTTGGCCCTTGTTTTGCGTAGTTAGGGCAAGTAACACAATTACTATCAATCCCATCTGTAAGTAGAAGTATTTGTAGGTGACCTTGAAGAGTGTTTTCAGTTCCCAAACTTACCACAGTATTCTTAATCATGGCATTTAATTGATAAGTGTTTAACAATTATTTAGTACCCCCTTAAAACACACACACACACACACACACACACACACACACACACACACATGTTCTTCACCTTTCTACTTGAAAAAAATTGTTCAATTGGCTATGTGAGAAAACCTTATTTAAATATTACACTCTACTATTAAGAAAAACAGATTGATTTATTCAGGGTTTCATGAGGAGTGAATATCAGGGCTCAAGCTAGAATCCAGTTCTTCTGAATAACAGCCTACTATCTATTCTACATTATTAAAATCTTCAGTAGGAGCAAGAGTGGGGTGATGTTAGGGGTTAGCATTAGATGAGTATTTTAGTTCCATGTTCTTGAACAGGTCACATCACTTCCAAAGGCTTCAATGACTCACAATTTAAGTCCAAAGAGGCAACAATAATCACAGTAGCTGTGTAGTGTTTATTTTTGTAGTTCAATGAGATGAGCCATGTAAACCTCTTAGCACAACAACAGACACAAAATAGACATCCATTTAATGTGAATTGTCACGAGTAGTATTGTCCTAATGTTCAGTAAATATTTGGTACAATATTTACAGTAATAAATAATCACTAATATTATGGTCTCTTACATAAATACCATGTTCTCTTTTTCCAAGACTCATACTTTGTAGATATGATAAATTTAAATGATATAGCTCTTTTCATTTTTTACTTTCTTTCTGTATCATTCATTCTTTAATAGCAAAATATTTTGTAAAAGAACATTTTGTATAAAACCACAGATCGTCAAATGAATAATAAGGTTATTAAGATAAAAATCTGCTATTATAAGATCTTTACCTGGAATAGTTAACAGGAGAAAACTTAAATTAATTATTTTGACAATCTTTTAAAGACACTCATCCTACAATGATTGGCTTTTAAATGCCTACCATTTGACAGGCACTCTACATGGACAGGTTTTCTACAAGTGAATTAGACAAAGTTCTTGCAATTATGAAACTATAATATAATATAGAAACTATAATGTAAAATAATATAGATAATAGACAAATAAGCAAATAACTATATAAGACAAAATGATAAAGATAATAAAGCAACAGACGGGAACATAGTTGCTGTTTTAATTATGGTATTCAGAAAAGCCTGAGAGTTCAGGGAGACCTGTGAGGTTTGGACAAAGTAAACCATTTGAAAATCAGGAAGAAGAAAGTTTCTGACAGAGCAAGAGACAATGCAAGGTCTGAATACATGTGTGTGAGAATTAGCAAGCCCATGTGATCAAAAAGGAGGTTATGAAGATTATCATCAAAGATTATTGAGGAAGGGAGACAAATACAGGAAATGAGTTTTGAAAGATTATAGAAGGTGATTTAGAGCCATGAGAAAGATGTTGAATTTTATTCTATATGTGTTCAGAGGATACTAGAGGTTTTTTTGAGCAGAGCTATGACTATAATTCAAATTCCACTAAAGCCAAACAATTATAGGAACACTAATTTTTCCAATAATTTACTTGATTAAAATTTCATGACTTTAAATGTGAGTCTTAAATGTGTATTTTATTGCCACATCTCTATTTCCTGTATACTTAAAGGTAACTCCCTAAAATAAATATGTATTTATTAAAATCATTTATGTGTATATATAGGTATATAATTATATTTATACAAATCCTTTGTTTAGTGTGAAAACCCAAGTGAAATTCTGATCAAGAAATAACACAAATTAAAGTTTTATATTGTTTGGATCCTGGATTAACTGCACCAGAATCACCAGACTTGCTTTTTAAAAATTAAGTTACTGAACTCCAATTCAGTTTTATTAAACTGTTGAGATGGTCAGTGAATCAAATTTTGCATAGGGTGATATTCCAAACTCATAGAGTGAGTTTGGAAGGTTCCCTCCTTTTCTATTTCATGGAATACTTTGAGGAGTACTGGTGTTAATTCTTCCTTGAAAGTCTTGTAGAACTCAGCTAAGAATCCATCTGGTCCTGGGCTTTTCTTCATTGGTAGGCTTTTGATGGCATTTTCTATTTCATTACTTAAAATTGATCTTTTAAAATCATGTATGATTTCCTCATTCGGTTTTGGTAGATCATATGTATCTATAAATTTGTCAGTGTCTTTGATATTTTCTATTAGAGTATAAATTTTCAAAATAGTTTCTAATTATCTTCTGTATCTCAGACATGTCTGTTGTGATATTTCCTTCTCCATCTTATATTTTAATAATTTGAGTTTTCTCTCTCATTTTTTTTGTTGTTAGCATGGCCAGGGGTTTATTTATTTTAATTATTTTTTTCAAAGAACCAGCTTTTTGTTTTGTCAATTTTTTCAATTGTTTCTTCTTCCTGATTTCCAAATGGTTTACTTTGTCCATACTTTACAGGTCTCCCTAAACTCTCAGGCCTTTCTGAATACCATAATTAAAACAGCAGCTGTGTTCCCTTTCTGTTACTTTATTATCTTTATCATCTTGTCTTATTTAGTTATTTGTTTATTTGTCTATTATCTATATTATTTTACATTATATTTTCTATATTATATTATAGTTTCATAATTGCAAGAAGTTTGTCTAGTTTACTTGAAGACTACCTGTCCATGAGTATTTTATTTCATTGATTTCAACTCTGATTTTAATTATTTCCTGCCTTCTACTGTTTTTTGGTGTTGACCTGTTCTTCTTTTTCTAGTGCTTTGAGATGTAGTGTTAGGGAATTTATTTATTGACTTTTTATTCTTTTAATGAATGCACTCTAAGAATTTCTTTATTTCATCCTTATTTCTTCTACTATCCATTCATAATTTATTTGTGAATTATATAGAATATTTCCAAACCCTTTCTATGAGGTTAATATCACCCTGATATCAAACCCAGACAAAGACACATCGAGGGAAGAAACTTTAAACTAATATCCATGATGAACAAAGATACAAAAATTCTCAATAAAATTTTAGCAAGTCATATACAAACACATATTTAAAAGGTAGTACACCACGATGCAGGGTTGGTTCAGCATAGGGAAATCAATAAATGTAATTAATAGACTTAAAAACAAGAATCACATGATTATCTCAATAGATGCAGAAAAAGCATTTGACAATATACAGCAAACCTTTGTGTTCAAAACACTAGACAAACTAGGGATAGTAGGAACATGATCAACATTGTAAAATCTATGTATGCCAATTAAAGCCAGCATCATTCTAAATGGAGAAAAATTGAAAGCATTCTCTCTAAAAAATGGAACAAGACAAGGATGTCCTCTTTTATCACTTCTATTCAACACTGTCCTTGAAACTCTCCCTAGAGCAATTAGACAAAAGAAAGAAATTAAAAGGATACAAACAGGAATAGAAGAACTCAAACTATCACTATTTGCTGATGACATGATTTAATACCAAGAAGATCAAAAAAAATTCCATGAGAAAACTTCTAGAAATAATAAATGAATTCATCAATGTAACAGGACATAAAATCAACACCCATAAATCAAATGCATTCCTATATATCAGTGATGAATCCACTGAAAGAGAAATTAGGAAAACACTTCATTCACAATAGCTTCAAAAAAATAAATAAAATTGGGAATCAATCTAATAAAGGAGGTGAAAGACTTCTACAATGAAAACTACAGAACATTCAAGAAAGAAATGGAAGAAAACCTCAGAAAATTGGAAGATCTCCCATGCTCTTGGATTGGCAGAATTAATATTGTCAAAATGGTCATAATACCAAAAGGTTTAGTGCAATTCCTATTAAAATCTCAATGACATTCTTCATAGAAATAGAAAAAGGAATCATGATATTTATTTGGAAAAATAAGAGACCCTGAATAGCTATAGCAATACAAAGCAAGAAAAGTAAACAGGAGACATCACAATCCCAGATCTTATACTATACTGCAGAGCTATAGTAACAAAAATGGCATGGAATTGGTACCAAAATAGAGTTGTAGACCAGTGGTACAGAATAGAGGATACAGAGACAAACCAACATAAATATAGTTATCTTATATTAGAAACAGGTACTAAAAATATTCACTGGAGAAAAGATAATCTATTCAACAAATGGTTCTGGTAAAACTGAAATTCCATATGTAGCAAAATGAAATTAAACCTCTATTTCTCACCATGCACAAAAATCAACTCAAAGTAGATCAAAGACATAGGCACTAGAACAGAGACCCTGCACCTAATAGAAGAAAAAAATAGGCCCAAGTCTTTACCCCATCAGCCTAAGGATCTGAATTCCTTATCCTAAAGCACAAGAAGTAAAATCAAGAATCGATAAATGGAATGGATTCAAATTAAAAAGCTTCTTCTCAGCAAAGGAAACAATTAATGATGTGATGAGAAAGCCTACTGATTGAGAGAAAATCTTTATCACATGCACCTCTGATAAAGCATTAATCTCTTGGATATATAAAGAACTCAGAAAACTTAACACCAAAAAAACCAAATAACTCAATCAATAAATGGGCTAAGAAACTGAACAGACACTTCACAATTGATCAACAAATATATGAAAAAGTGTTCAACATTTCTAGCAATTAGAGAAATGCAAATCAACCTACTCTTAAGATTTTATCTCACTCCTGTCAAAAAGAATGGCAATCATCAAGACTACAGGCAACAATAAATGTTGGCAAGGATGTGGTGAAAAAGGTACACTCATAAATTGCTAGTGGGACTGCAAATTGGAGCAACCACTATGGAAAACAGTATGGAGATTCCTCAGAAAATTGGGAATGGAACCACCATTTGACCCAGCTATACTACTCCTTGGTTTATACCAAAAGGACTTAAAATCAGCACACTACAGTAATGCAGCCACATCAATGTTTCTAGAAGCTCAATTCACAATAGCTAGACTATAGAACCAACAGAAGAGAAATACAACTGAGCAACAAATATATGAAAAAGTGTTCAACATCTCTAGCAATCAGAGAAATGGAAATCGAAACTAAACTAAGATTTCATCTCACCCAATAGATGAACACATAAAGAAAATGTGGTATGTAAACTCAATGGAATAGTAGTCAGCTTTAAAGAAGAGTAAAATTATGGAATTTGCCAGTAAATGGTTGGAGTTGGAGAATATCATGCTAAGTGAATATGCCAATCCCAGAAAACCAAAGCCAAAATATTTTCTCTTATATACAGATGCTAATTCACAATAAGGCAGGGGGCACTAGGGAGAATAGCATTATCTTAGATTAGGTACAGGGAAGTAATGGGAGGGGAGGGGAGGAGACCTGAGGAAAGGGCTAACACCAATTTCACCTCTAAACCTTCTTGAGGGGATGTGGGGATAGTAAAGATAGTAGAATGAAACAGACATTATTACTGTGTGTATAATAAGTGATTACATGACCAATATGATTCTGCAACATGTACACTCAGAAAAATGAGAAATTATATCCCATCTATGTATGGGATATATCAAAGTGCATAAACGCATTCTACTGTTATATATAACTAACTAATTAAAACAAATTAAAAAATTTTGAATAAGAAAAGAAATTTGAACAATCTCTCAGGTAATTCTTAATGCATGTAAAAACTTATAGACCACTGGCATAAATCATTTGTGAGTATTTTAGTCAATTATTTCACTGCTGTGACTGAAAAACTGACAAGAACAATTAGAGGAAGAAGAGGCTTTTGTGGGGGCTCAACAATAGAGGGCCAACTCCACTCCTTGGGGCTCAAAGTGAGGCTCAACATCAGGGTACAACAGTGTGACTCAAAGAAGTAGCTTCAGACATGGCCGCTGTGAAGTAGAGAGACTCCACTCACCAGATACAAAATATATACCCCAAAGACATGCCCCTGAGGACCCACCCCTCCAGCCACACCCTACCTGCCTTCAGTTACCACCCACTTAATCCCTATCGGAGGGAGGGTTAACTCACTGATTATAACCCAATCATTTCACCCCTAAGCCTTCTTGCATTGTCTCACACATGAGCATTTGGGGGACACCTCACATCTAACCCATAACAATGAGAAAGATAAGATATAAAACAGAATGTGATCCTCAGATGCTTTTCATATTACTCTTGTTTCTATTTTGGGTTCCACACTTTGAGAACTGATGATTTAATGGGTTGACTTCAAAGTTAAGGAAGTGGAATGGGGAGTTGATGCAGCAGTAGAAACCATTGCTTATACTGAAAGACCAAGGACCTGAGGAAAGGGCTAACACCAAGGAGTAATAGATTGAGTGTCAAGCTCTGTATTGTTCTGAGAATACGATCAACAGAATGAAATTTAAAGGAAGATAAATCTGGACACAAACATAGGAGACTGTGTAATTGGAAGTTGATGTACCTTGTGATGAAGGTCAATTGCTCTAAGGTCAGTAACTCAGTGGACTGTCCTCCTCTATGAGGGGCAGAGGGAGTTGCTCTAGAGGAGGTTCAGGCTATGTAAACCACCACCCCTGAGTACGTGCTGCTAAGGTGACACTTTTTGACACTTTTCTCTCTCAGGCAAAAAGAAGTAGAGGAAAAAGAAAAGAATTCTGGCGTCAGATCAAATGAGACTGGATCAGAGTCAGGAAAGGTGAGTCATTAACTAGGTTTTGACAGAACTGTCTTTCTCTAAGTCCTCATAGACATAGAAAGGGGTTGTGAATATGGTCAACCAACATCTTGTCCTTTGAAGGTCAGGAACCAATGTCAAAACAAGAATATTATTGGCAATTTGCAAATTTGGCAATTTAATGTCAAATGGGAACCTTCCAGTCTAATGATTTATTCATCATTACAATTAATAAATCATAGTGTATTCAATTGTCTCAGCAGCTTGTAAAACCTTTAAACTTTATTTTAGAGAAAATGAGTTTTAATAAGTATAGTTCTTTTTTAATTGCTATTATAACAAATCACTATAAACAGTAGCATATAACAATACAAACTTATTATCTTAAATTTCTGGATTTTAGAAATTCTAAATGGTCTCACTGAAACCAGCACATCAGTAAAGTTGTGTTCCTTTGCGGAAACTCCATAGAAAGTTCTGATTCTTTGCCTTCATTAACTTTTGGAGGGAACCTGCTTGTCTTCAAAGCGAGCCAGGGCCTGTCAAGTCTTTATTATGCTCTATCATTGTGACACTGACTTTCTTGCTTCCCTCTTTCATGGATAAAAACCTTTGTATTTTCACTTGATCCAGTCTGATAACCTCCCCATTTCAAACATAAATGCCAGATCTAATTCTATATTCAATACAATCCCCCACACTTGACATATAAAGCAGTATTTTTGCAGGTTCCAGAAATTGGGACACAGACATTTTTATGGGCCATAATTGTGTCAAGCAAAGCAAGATTAACTGACTGCCTTGCTCTTGGATGCAATCTGATTTTCAAATCGGATCAATACTATGTGAAAACAGCACTTCTGACATAATGTTTCCTTCTTTTCAGGATGTATGTGATGAGTTTAGAAGCCAACTAAAAAATGGACAACTCATTTGCACTCGAGAGAGCGACCCCGTCCGGGGTCCTGATGGCAAGACACATGGCAATAAATGTGCCATGTGTAAGGAGAGGCTGTGAGTACCTACCAAAAAAGGGGTCTTGTCTGCAAGTCAGGAAAGTGCAATTTCTCAACAATATGAGAAAGGAGAAATTGTTTTAGAAGCAGATCTTGTCATTGATGAGGGGTTTATTCACTTTGGTTGAAATGTTTCTTTTCCTCCTTTCCTTCAGGGAAAAGGAAGCAGCTGAGAAAAAAAAGAAAGAAGATGAAGAAAAGAAAAATACAGGGGAAAAGAACAACAACAAGGAGGTGATGCATGCTAGACACACTAATGCCTACACTAGGTTGCTTTGCTGTTCATGAATTCATCTGAAGAGTGTTTGTGGAGGGCAGAATTTCCCCGTCATTCCAGTAAGCGTGAAAGACGAGGCTCCTTCTTACAAAGAAACAGCCTGCTCTCCAGAGCCCCAGGATCAGCTCTGATGCACACATTTGTAGGGCAAGTGACAGTTCTCAAATTATTGTGATCATACATTCAGTGAATTTCACTTCTAAAGTCTTAAAACAAACCAATAAACAGGTACCAAAAATTACGAATAAGAAAGCCAGTATCAAAATTTAGAGTTTGAGAAGATAAAATTCTTTAGCTGGCATTTCAGTGCCTCCTAGAGTTGATTTTGGCTTTATAAATAGTGTTCACCCTATAGAACTTTACATAGGGCCATCCTTCTAATCTGTCCAGAGATTCCAAATAGAAAAACAAAATAGTAAAATGTTCCTAAGCAGGTTTTCCAAGTAGTGAGGCAACTTTTCATCAGTTCACTGTACTGGACTAAACAAAATGAAACATTAATAGTAATCATAGTTCCTCTAAAATATCTGGGCAATATCTATTGTGCATTTCAGTGATGAAAGGCTTTGAGAATACAATTTATTGTACAACTTCAGATGATCTGAACTGGATTTCATGTAAAATTTTGGTCAATTTTGGTCAACAATTCATGTTTGTAATATTTTGGAAATTTCACACCGAAAAATAACTATGTGTGTGTGTGTGTGTGTGTGTGTGTGTGTGTGTGTGTATTTAAAGTATTGAGATTTCATGTATGTGTCAAAAGGCAATTCTGGTTCAACTGTAAGTAAAAATTACCATATTTAGAAATCCCTAATATGTATGATGTGGGTTGTTTAAATTTTACAACAGAAAAAAATTCAAGAGACAGTGACTACACATAAATATTAAACAGAAGGGACTAAACCCTTAAAGAAAGAGTTGCACTACAGGCAGATGGGTACTAAGAAGAATGTTTGTGGTACTCTGGGTACCTAGAAAAGAATATGATTCTAGTTACTTCTAAAAATGATGGTTGTAAGACATTTAATATATTTATCAGGTATTCAATTTCAAATTCCAGAAATCTTTCCTGCCTGTTTCCTTCCTTCGTTCCTTCGTTCCTTCGTTTCTTCGTTCGTTCGTTCGTTCGTTCGTTCGTTCGTTCGTTCGTTCGTTCGTTCGTTCGTTCCTTCCTTCCTTCCTTCCTTCCTTCCTTCCTTCATGCAGCAGATTACAGCAGGCCTGGAAGGTGGGAGACATGGCTCAGTGGTAGAGGGCTTGCATGGCATATGTGAAGCTGGGTTTGATCCCTGCACATTAAAACATCAACAACTACAACAAAAGAAGTCCTGGAATTGTTTATGAATATCACAATTTAAAGAAAAAAGAAACACTATGATCTCTAGGCATTTAGTATTTTTAAAGATGTTTTCGTATATCTACTTTGCCTCTTTGAAGTTAAAGGAAGTTCAAGTGACTTCTACACATCTCCAAAGCTTTAAAAAAATGCCAGGTTCTGTGGACTCAGTTATATTGATTTCTTTTTGATGTCCTTGTTTTCAATCAACAAAAAAATCAGCTTGGATGTGGTTCAGTGGTAGAGCACTTGCCTACTATGTGTCAGGTCTTAGGTTCTAAAACTGGGAGGGAAAAAAACTCAGCTCTATTTTTTATTTTTTTAAGAAGTATACAGGATTTTTATTTTGCATGTAAAAGCAAAGCAGTAAAAAGAAAAGCCTAGTTGTCATAAGATTCCTGTTCAAAACTCTAACTTTGATGTTAACCACTTAATATTGCTTATTCATATTTTTCTCATCTGAAAATGGGGATAATGAATATTTATCTTATGGATTTCTATGACCACAACAGGAAACCTATTAGAGCATGTAACAAATGCCTGACATGCAGTCCGAATTTGATTAAAAAAAACCCCAAAAGTGTGTATGTGGGGGGGGGGGTTAAAAATTGTATTGAGGAACAAAGCTGAACATTTACATGTTTGTATATCTTGCCATAAGAGTGTTTTCCATTCATTCCAGGGCTGTTGAATAAGACTTTTTAATGTATATAGTAATGACTACAGTTGCAGAAACAGATTTAGTGGTCAGCATCTCAAGAGACTATGTAAAAATAGAATGTTTTCTCCAAGCAGTAGTGAAATTCCACTAGGGTAAGACAGTTATTGGGAGAGATTCTGTGGACAGGATTCAAACTATTTAGACAGAGATTGGATAGAATACCTTTAAAACACATTTCATCTCAGAAATCTCATTTTTTCTATTTTTCCCCCTTCAAGTGTTACGAATTCATATCTAACCAACCAATCATGTTTTCAGGCTTCAAAGATTAGCCTATTACAGTAACATCATCTTTCCTCCTCCACCCCTCCTGTTGACAGGATCTGTGTTATGAATTCCGGAGCAAGCAGAAAGATGGAAAGCTTGTCTGCACCAGAGAAAATAACCCTGTTCGAGGCCCAGATGGCAAGATGCATGTCAACAAGTGTGCCATGTGTCTGAGCGTCTTGTAAGTGAAGAGGCTTATTTTTCTGTGCATTTGTTATATTATGCCTATTACTTTAAAACCTAAGAGCCCTTGGCTTAACACATTAAAGATAAATAGATATTCAATTCTGAAGAGAACAGTTAGTTTCCAAAACACTAAGATTTTCTTTTTTTAATTTCAATGATAAGAAGCATAATCCTATGTGAAGTCCCTGTGGTAGGAAAATAGCTACAGTCTAATGACAAAATCCATGGCCTTTCAAGAGGGGGTTTAGTAAGTAATCTGGGACAAGCCAGCTCACTTTGCAGAGCCTCAGTCTCTTCTCTCTGTGAGTGAAATACAACGAATACCCAATACAGTTGTTGTGGGGATTCAAAGTGAGAACATTTTTAAAAAATGTTTCTAAACTTCAAATCACTATCCCTATGTAAAGAACAATCTCAATGCAGAGTTTAGATATAATACACCTGGAAAGATGAGAGTGGGAAAGGAAACACCTCTGTAGATAAATGTATTCTATTAAGAGAAAATAAAGTAATGGCCTTTTAGGATCCTGTCATTCTTGATGACAGTATCATAAGAGAAACAATGAAACTTGAGAGCATTGATTGCCATAGATATGATATGAAAACTCCAACCCCCAGAACAGACTAGGCATTTTTTTCAGTTTGAGAAAATAGTGTTAGATTTGCTAATGTTTAGAATTGGCAAGATTAGCCATCCTGGTGGTGCATGCCTATAATCCTAGTGACTCGGGAGGCTGAGACAGGACGATCACAAGTTCGAGATCAGTTTGTGAAACTCAGTGAGACACTAAGCAACTTAATGAGACCCTGTCTCAAAATAAAAATTAAAAACAATGGGTGACATGGCTCAGTGGTTGAGTGCCCTTAGATTCAATTTTCAGTACCCCCCCAAAAAGAATTGCCTAACGACAATTCATTAACAAGCCTTAAAATACACACACACACACACACACACACACACACACACACACACATCCTATTTTTCTTTTTCCTTCTGCAGTGAGCGAGAAGCCAGTGAAAGAAAAAATGATAAAGAGTCAAGTTCCAAGCCTTCAAACAAGCCTTCAAATGATGCAAAGGTTGTTTCTTAAAAGATAACAAAATAACTCTTCCACCTTTCACCTTTAAAATCTTGCCTTCTTTTGCAGTCTTGGGATAACAAAGATACTAATATTTTGTGTAAAGGTTCATTGATTTTGCCACTGTTATCACTCTGGGTAATAATGAGATTTTGGGGGTCTGATGCTTTTCTTGATTTTGTGGATAATTTTCCTAGAGCATGTGCCAATTATTGCTTTAGTCTTTCTGCTTTAGGAGAAATGAAGATTCCAGTAGTTTGTAGTCATTGGTTTTAATAATACAGGCAAGTTAAACTAATCTTAAGTCTTCTGGTTAGTTTCTCTCCTTGATGTCTTTTTTTCTGTTTTCTCCAGATGATTTTCTCAGCATCAACGAATCAATAGTGCATACACCATGCTGCCTTTTCTATTTTGCTTTTCAAGACTGCAAAGAAGAACCTCCATTCAGTCCTTTAACAGTGATAATCACATTTATAGAGTTGCATTCTGGTGGGATTCTCCTGGAGCTAACAGCACACCTAATGTGGAAATGGGGAACAGTGGATGAAAGGGAAAGGACAAGAAGGAGGGCGTATCAAGTATTGTTTTATGTTTCTCTACATTTCCAGGACCAGTGCAGAGAGGTTCAGAATGAAGCAGAGGATGCAAAGTTTAGACAGTCTGGGAGTACCTTGGCTTCTGTTGCCAGGATCAGAGCAGTGAGTCTGAGCCCAGAGCCAGCAGAGGACTATCTAAAGCCACCTTTGCTTCCTAAAACCACCTAGCAAAAAAAGGAAAAGGCCCTGTTCACCTCCCCCTCTCTCATCTTCCAGGATGAGTGCAGTGAGTTTCGGAAACACTTGAGGAATGGAGAGCTCATCTGTACCCGAGAGCATGACCCCGTCCGTGGCGATGATGGAAAGTTCTACAGAAACAAGTGCCACAAGTGCAGAGCTGTCTTGTGAGTAAGAAGATTCTGCTTTGGCTGTAGAAGCAGGGGAGCTGCATTTTTAGAAACAGTTCATTGAATAACTGTGTGTGCTCATGGAGCCACGGAGTCCTTAAAATAAGTCTTTAGAATCCTTGCCCTTAACGTGAGAATACCCAGCCTGGTAGAAAGAGTAGAAGGAGTGGTTGAACTTGCTGACAGGAAACCCAGGTGTAAGTTCTTACTATGATACTTGCTGTGCCACTTACATTTTTTCCTCCTGCTTTCAGCATCATAGTTAAAAGGGATCATTCCAAATCTTTGTTCTACAACTCTATTGGATTCAGCAGAGAAGTCTTTTTAAAAGCAGATTTTTATACTTAAAATTTATTAAATCAAAATTTCTAGAGCTAAAGAATTTGTGTTTTAGAAAGGGTTTCAAAATTGTTTTAATGATCAAACAAATTTTGAGACCAATGTACAAGTTGATGATGGTGACAATAAATAGTTATGAAAAACACTAAGATAAGAATAACAATATTTATTTAACTTTCACAGAGTATGTTTTTTGAAGTAGGAACTACCAACACTGTACTCTCTATATTCTAGGAAATTGAGACTCAAAGACTCTAGGCCACTTGTCTAAGGTCACACATCTATGAAGTGATAAGAGCTCTACACCAACTCCCTGATAATAATAATAATAATAATAATAATAATAATAATAATAATAATAATAATATTTTGTTCCCTTGCTCAGTCAAGAAGAAATGTTTGAAAGGGTAAAACTTCGTAAAATGTCATTCCACATTAGAGCTTCCGAAGAGGAAAACAGCCCAGGTTCGCCCAATTCTTCTCTGGTAAGAATGACTATTTTGAAAACCTATTCATGAATTTAATTCACTTGCATTTTCACGACAGCTGCTCCTTTTGCACAATTCCCATTTGCTAGCAGGGTCTGGGGAGGCTGATTGGGTGTACCCCGAGAGCTTTGCTTAGAGGACTAGATGCAGTTCATGCTTGGTGACATCTCTGGGATTACTCATCAGTGCATCTTTCTGCTCTTTGAGATTATTAGCCCTGATTGCATTGGGAACATTCTGAAATTTTAAGAAGTGGGTGAGACTAACTCAATGTGTGGTTAAATATGTAGTCAGATGCCTTAATTTTCTAATATCACTCAGCTTACACTCATTTGCCTCCTACAGCCCAGTCCCTTCCTAATAGCCAAGAACACACAGCAAATCATTCTGAAAAGACATTACAGGGAGGCAAGGGCAGAAGCCAGATAATCCATGAGAGACTGCAGTAATTCATGAAAAAGTTATGCTGGCTTTTACCACCATGGAGGGTAGAGCTCCTCAGAGGTGGAGGATTCTGGCTCCACTTTAAAAGTGGAGTCAAGAGAATTTGTTCAGAGTCAATGTACTAAGAAAAGAAGCATCCTGCCTTTGTCGCTTCTGTCTTTTGCTTCTTTTGTGGGGCTTATCCTGATACCAATCATTGCAGCTACAGTAACCTGAAAATACAACGGACTTAACTAGTTCAATCCAGATTTGCCAAGATTCCTAGAAGTTCCTGTCTGAAATCTCCCTGAATATTTATATTAATATGGAACTCACTACAGTCTAAAGCAGCTTATTTAGATATTTGAATTATTTATCAAAACAAAAGAACAAGTAGTTGCTGCCCAAATCCCTTAGAGTATCAACTGTTATAATACCATTGCATTTTTAATTTCTTCTTTGTGTTTGTTTCAGAGTGTAGTTTCCAATAAATTTATTAATTTGTTCTAAGTTGTCAATTTCATTGGCATATAGTTATTCACAATATTTCCATGTTATCCTTTTAATATCTATAGTTGATATCTCTTTTTATTTTTAAGAATGGTGATGTGTATTTTTCTGCTTTTTTTCATTGACTTCACAGGTAGATATCACTCTATTAATCAATCTATTAATCTCTTCTAGAAGCTAGATTTTGGCTTTGTTCTCTTTATTTCATAACTTTCTCCTTTTTTTTCCTTCTGGTTTCTTTGAACTTAATTTGCCCATCATCTGCTGAATTCTTGAGATAGTAATTTTCATAATTGATTTTAAAACTTTCTTATTTTTCAATCTGTATAAATTTTAAATTTCTCTCAAACCACTGCTTAAATTACTAAGATTGGATAGTATATATATATATATATATATGTATATATATATATATATATATACACATATATATACATATATTAAATATTTATTATTTTTAGGTGTAGATGGATACAACACAATGCCTTTATTTTTATGTGGTGCTGAGGATCGAACCCAGGTCCCACCCATGCTAGGGGAGCGCTCTATTGCTGAGCCACAATCCCAGCCCCTGGATAGTTTATATTTTTGCTGTCCTTTACTCTAAGTCATTTCTAAATTGTATCATGACTTTCAGTCATGAGTGATTTAAGACTCATTCTTCTACTTTAAACCTGCCAATTCCCTCATAAAAAAGTATATTTCTTATAAATGATAGTAGGACCTTCATGTTCTTCCTGCTTAACATTTCTGTCTTGTAACATTTATAATCACCATCAAATTTGTCTTCTGTCATCCTATTTGTTTTTAAATCTGTTCACCCTCCTTTAATTCTTTTTTTTTTGGTCTTATTTTTTTTCTGAATAATCAAATTATTTTTGTTGTTTTTGCTATCACATTAAGTATTGTTCAACTCATACTTCCAAAAGACTATAAAAACATGTTTCTTCTATGTTGAAAATACAATGATTACCATGGAAAATGTACTGATAACTAACATTTACTGAGCTTTTGGAATGCAATAGACTCTGTATTACGCATGCATTCAAATACATTACTTGATATAATTCCAAAATCAATAATGTAAGAGCTACTATTATTGTTATTCAGATGAGTAAATTAAGGCTCAAAAAATCTAGATAAATTGCTTCTCTACTTAGTGGCAGAGCTAGGTCTCAAAACCCATGCAATTAACTAGTGTTTAGCTATGAATTTTTTTCCTTCTAGGATGTACATTAACAGCACCTTCCTTTAAAAAGTGGATGTTATTTCTTGTGTGATTAACATCTTAATTTTCTTCCTAGGCATGCACAGCTTACCATGCCTGGTACTTCATGGGATTTATGCTCTTATTGTTTTATTCTCCTTGGTTCCTTTGTTTAGAAAGTCATCTTTTATACTTAAAAGAAGCCAAATCCAGGAGGTTAAGTCTGTCTAATATGGTGTGAAATAAATATGTAGTTTGTATCACTGTCCTGTTCCTAATCATTTACCCAGATGTGATTAAGGAAACTAGGATGTGCTCCCAAACCCGTCCTTTTCTTTGAATGCTGTTAAGTAAGTCTTCTTTATGCTTTGTTTGTTCAGGATTCCGAGATGTGCAAACAGTACCGAGTGCTGCCAAGGATGGGTTTTCTTTGCCCAAAGGATTTACAGCCTGTCTGTGGTGATGATGGACAAACATATAACAACCCTTGTATGCTCTGTCATGAAAACCTGTAAGTAAGCAGGATGCACCTCAAAACTCCCAGAGCAGCCCAGCAATAGTGTTGACCTACCCTAGTGTACTGATATCATATCATGTTGGTGTGTGTGTGTGTGTGTGTTTGTGTGTGGTGCTGAGGAATAGAACTCAGGGCCTTGTGCAAGCAACTGAGCTATATCTCCAGCCCTGTTGGGGAATATTTTAGTCATTTATAAATAAATCATAACAGTTAAAAAATTCAAAATTCCACATTTTTCTTATATGTAATAGAAAGGATTCACTGCTATTTCTTTGATAAAACTGCTTACGTATATTGTTATATTCTTTCCTGAGTAGAAGAGAACATAAACAGGGGTTTGGCTACAGCCATTACAGAGCTTCTCTATAAGCTCACATATACTCATGGGAGCATGGACATCATTCGTCCTGCACATGGCTAAGGAAAATGTGGAGAACCACTGCTGTGTAGAGTCAGCCTCACCTATGATGTCTAAACAAGTCCTATGGCTATAAGAGAGTCACTGAGTTCCCACCTTCTGTGAATCTTCTTATTGAAGGAAGTGGTTCCATACAAAAGACAGTGCAAAACATGCCAGGTGTCATGCTCACCTGTAATCCCAGTGGCTCAGGAGGCTGAGGCAGGAGGATCTCAAATTCAAGGCCAGCCTCAACAACTTAGGGAGGACCAAAGAAGCTTAGTGAGATCCTGTCTCAAAATATAAATAAATAAAAGGGCTGGAATGTGGTTAAATGCCCCTGGGTTCAATTACCATAACCCGCCCCCCCCCAAAAAAAAAGAATCCCAGAGCAAACGGCATACTGATGTCTAGGTTAATTCTAATTTATTACTGTCCGTGTAATCCAAATTGCCTCATCATTCCTTTGATATCTTCATTAAAAAAGTGGAGACAGTTCTCTAAGCAGCTGACTCCACAGGTTATTTAAAATAACTATTAGATATGAAAATATTTTTATTTTAAGGAATCTATTTTATTGCTTTTACTATTGGTTTTAACTTTGCTCCAGTAGACCAGTTTTCAATGAAATTATGGTGACGGAGTTTGGCTTTTCCATCCCACGCCACCCTAGACTTACACTGCAGTTCAATTACTACTCAGGAGGCCTTCTTTCAACACTGCAAACAAAGTCCAGGATATAAGGAAGAAACTCCTTGATATCCTCATTTTCAAACCTAGAAAATATCTGAATTGGCATTTATTCTATTTTGAATAAAATAACTCATAAAAGAAAAAAAAATCCCCAGGTCACATACTTAAAAACATAAATTATGCACATAAGTGCTTATGTGTTCTAGGAACTATATGTAAGTATGTAAGGTATGGTAGATAGAATACCTTCACATTCAGTCAAGGAGTCCCTATAACCTGCTATGGAGGAGTATTGATATCTTTGTTCAGAGATGTTTAGAGAGTGCAGGTAATTCATTAAAAGTCACAAAGCCAGGAAATACATTAAACAACATCTTAGCCTTGTTGATTTGGGTCTAAATTATTTATTCACTGTACTCCAGTTATACCCAAAGCAGTAGCTCAATGAAATTTTGTGGAAGCAAGGATTCCTTTGGTAATATAAAAAAAGTTACTGCTTTTAAGAATAGAAAAATAATGATGTAACATGAGAGACTTGCATGCATAACATCTATGGGCTTATGGGTGACTTATAAACCATTTATGAACCTTACAGAATTTAAAGTTAATAAGCCTTGTTTAAGCAGTGAATATTATCGTCTAGGAGATAAGTTGTTGTGTATACTGTACGCCCAGTCCAGAAATCCTCCAATTCCTTTTCATTACAAGTATCAGGAATTAAATCATCTATGTAATTTTATCAAACTTTGTATTAACTGTATAGGCCCATAAAAATTGATCCTCTATTCAAGGGAGATTAGAGTCAGAAACTTACATGATGAAAATATTAATAAAGCATGCCTCAGGATGTATTGTTTGGCAAAAGAATCTGGGAATATGTATTATAGAGAAGAGAAACTCAGGTTATCCCAGACAAGAGGGGCCATTTTTTTTCAATGATGTTAGAGAAGTTGTAGGGGAGAAATTTTAACATAAATTCTATTCAAAGACAAAGTGCCCTTTCTTGTTAGACAACCAGTTTCCAACACCAGAGGCAAACAAGTCCATGTTTGATTCATAATATTTCTTGAGTGATAGGCACTATAATTTCTACTCTTTAAGATTATTTCAAATGATGAGGTACAGACTGTTTGATGGTGTCTTGTTATATTTTCTGTGGCCCCAAGTCATATTACATAAATTTAATATAGTCAGCCTTCTCTCTGGGATCTGATATTCCCATCTACAAAATCATGACCTGTGGAGTAGATGATGTCCAACATTCTGAAATTCTATGAGTATTAGTGGATGAAATGTGACAGTATAGGTTCAGGGCTAGAGGATATCTGGAGCAAGAGAGACTGAACCTAGAGGATGAACCCTGGAGAATGGTTGCATTTTGATCCCAGGCCCTTCTAACTCCAGCTTTTGATGTTGTTTTACTTAACGTTGATCCTTATTTATATATCATGTAGGATTCTTGAATCTTCCTCTGTTCTGTTTTAGGATGCGTCAAATGAATATACACATACGTAGTGAAGGGAAGTGTGAGGAAAGCAGCATCCCAGAAACCCCTGTGGACGCACAGGCATCTGTGAGTACCCGGGACTTCCTGCCCAGGGTGTTAGAAGTAGCTGGTCCACCTCTGTCCTCTTGCTCTGGGTGATGGAAATTTCTCAGGCCAGAGAAGTGACACTAGGTCTGGAATTGGTCATATTTTTACTGTGAAGATAATTAAGTAATGATTGAAATATGTAGGAATAATAACACCAATTTACATTTTAGATTCATTACTTGACTCGTTAATAGATTTTTATGAGCAATGTGTCCAATCTAACATTACGTTTTGCAGGGTAATTTTTATTCTCTATAATCCACATGAAAAAGATGAAGCAGAGAATAGGGGTAGGGTCAGAGCTGTATTGCAGCCATTTCTATGTAATGCTCATATCCTCTCATATTACACTGCATTTAATTTTCCCAAGCCTTGAACATTGACCCATTTCATTTAAATCCCTGCAAGGATATTTTAACACATATAACTGTCTTTGATAGTCTCCCTGGTAATTTTATTTGAGAAGTTTCTTCCCCAGGAAAGATGATTTATAACCTGGAAAAAAATTTCAAATAAGAGTAAACAGTTAGAAGATAAATATGGGCACAAATGAAAATTTTTAATGTTTTTCATGCATGATACCTTTGGTGAATCACATAAATACGATAAGCCAAAGATCTCAATGAACTATTGAAAATAATCACTAAGCACTGACTTTAAAACACATGAAACAGCATCTAAAACACAAATAACAACTTTTATTATAATGATCACTGTCATTATTATACCTAGGACCAGAGTATAAATTTAGAGATAGTCCCAAGTATAAATTTAGAAAAAGACCCTGGCATAGTGCTTAGTTAATGTAAATAAATAAATAACTTGACTAATTACATTTTAATGTAACTATACTTAATATCTGCATCAAACAAAATTAAAATATCTTAATAAACTTTATTTAACAACTTTATTATTTTTCAATGGACTTCATGCCACTGCCACAAAAAGCTTTAGCAATAATGGAATTAAAAATATTCTGCTAGATTTGAAAGCAACACTAAATGAGTCCTTATTGCCTTGATGTGGGAAATTGGGAATACTAGGAGTTTGATCAGGTATTCCTGGTCTCACAATAGCAGTGGGAAGGCAGAGTAGAGTAGACCAAGAACCAGGAAACCTCTATTTCTTTCTCATGTAACTTGACAGGCAATTGTCTATGTTGGATCTTTAGACATCCATAAAAGACAAGGCTAGTTCCTATGTTACTTTCTAATCTATTCCATATATAAATTCTTGATCATATTTTATTGACAGAATATACTGTTCTCCTTCCTCACAAACATACCTCTTTGCATATATCTTAGAAAGAAGAGGTGGAAATAATCTTTATTCCAGCCAGATAGACCACACCTCCCTGTAACAAGCATCCTGTGTGGGTGACTTGACAAAAACTACTTCATGAGGAACTTGCCTTAAGGTTACACTTATAAGATATATATATATTTTTTCAAATAATGAAGAATCTTGCCAGGGGGTCGGCACCCAGGGCTTTGGAGGGGAGTTGTTTCCTTTAATTTCTTTCTGGGTATTTCCTTTCCACTAGAGTTCCACAGCTGGTGTTGTTAATGACAGGAAAATTTTTATACTTTTCTTTGGTGAAACAAATTTCTGTACCAGAAGGTTTCCTGGATGTGGGTGCAGTTTCATCTCCCTCTGTGTGATTTAGAGTGATCTTGGGTACAGGTGGTACAGATGGGCATGACTCAGTATTGCACTGTTGGTTATTATGGTGGTATATTCTGGGTTAGATATAGGTTAGAACCTATTGCCTGAGCTTTACTGCTGGGTGGAAGATCCTCCAAGAGAGTCTGGCATCCCAAGAATGAAATGATGCCAGGCAGTGGCAACTTTCTCAAAAAGGAGGTTGAGGATCCTGAAACTCATCCATTTGCTTACTATCTAAGTTGTGCTTTCTGTTATACAGAAACTACTAAGATTTATGTAGCTCTTTAGAGTTGCAAATACATTTTCCCTTTTGCATCTTCATACTATTCTTATGATTAGAGCAGGAATTGTCACCTTCCCCGTCTTATAGAAAACCAACCTGGGAGAAACTCTGCCATTTAACAAAGTTACTCAATGCAAATCTTGAGTCAAGTATGTGTCTTCTGATTTCATAATCCATTCCCTGTCATGATTCCTTAGTCATCAGGAGATTCTGAAAAACAGTCACTGTAAAGAAGATCTTATTGCAGATTTGCTATATCAGGCAATAGGTTCCAACCTCAGGGAATATACAGCCATGGTAGTCATCATGTTGGACAATGACCCATCTATGGCAGCTGGGCCCAAATAGTTCCCACATAAAGGAAATTACAAATATAATTTTGTGAGATGAATAAATAACTATTCTCAATGTTATGACATATTATCAAAGATTTGACAAGACCACAGCTTGTCCCTTTCAAACCAAAGGAAATCTTGTTAAGCTGATGTGTAGGTACTGAAATAAATAGTTAAGTTTGGAATGACTTAACTGCTCTTGCCATGATGGTAGTAGCTGATGACTTGCAGTTACCAAGAAGGACAGTCTTAGGCCTTCATCCCCTTTTAATTTTTTTTTTAAATTTTGATTAATGTTTTATTTTTTATTTTTTTAATTTTTATTGTTGGTTGTTCAAAACATTACATAGTTCTTGATATATCATATTTCACACTTTGATTCAAGTGGGTCATGAACTCGCATTTTTACCCAGTATACAGATTGCAGAATCACATCAGTTACACTTCCGCTGATTTACATATTGCCATACTAGTGTCTGTTGTATTCTGCTGCCTTGCCTATCCTCTACTAATTTTGAGTTCAACAGTGTTTGAAAACAGATAAGCCAAGAAAGGAGTATAGCTGATTCTATTCTAAAGGTACAAAACAAACTGTAATAGAAGAGCATTAATATTACAGGCATTGGATTCAACGTGACCTAATCTGAGAATTTAGTAAGCAACTAAGATCTGAAGCCCAATTTCCTCATCTATGAAGTGGTGTTAATGACACCTATCTTTTTTATCATCACGAAGGTCACATGTAATCAAGAGCAGAGTTAAGCTATATTCATTTCTGTATTATCTACCTCAACAGGAGTTCAAACATGCTAGGAGCTCAAACAATATTCACAGGAAAACACTGGATAAAATGTGAAAAGAACTGTAAATTGTTAATTCTTAGCAGAGTACAGGAATCTCTGATTAAAGTACAGTTGATTGTCCACCTCAATTCTCTGCATTGTACTTGACTTCTATCATCTGATCTTCCCATCTTCTCTTCCAGGACAAATGATTCAAGGATTGGTGGATGCAATGAGGGAAAAAATATGCCCTAAATTCTGAACGTCCTACCTTCGTCATCTGTATATATAAAGAATGCTTCAGAGTTCTTCTTATTTACTATAGAAAACAATGCAGAGCTGTTGGGACTGGACCCACTGATTTTCAGTCTTTTTCCATCTCTTTCCTCCTAGACACTGTGGTCTTAGAGCACACAGAAATCCCCACCTGGTCTGTGCTCTGAAAATGCCCTGATCACAATGTTGTCTGTCCAACTGCCTGTTTAATAAAAGTAGACTCCGCAGAACACCCTTTGGGGGATTCCTTTGTCACTGCCTAAGATAAAAGGAACCTTTTTTTTTATTTTTTACAGAAGCTGGATAAACTCTACCCTTTTGTCTTGCTAATAAACTCACTGGTAGACAGACTACTCATTTTCTTTATGTTCAAGTTGCTGTCATAGTTGGGAAGGAGTGCCTAGGTAGGAGAGAAGATAGTGTGGACCCCTATGCATCCAGCAGTATATAAAGCTGCCTACTACAAAACCAGTTCTCCTCTTTGGCTCCTGCATTTTCATGAAGCGCATAACTATCTCTCAGTTATGTAAAGCCATCCAGTGAACTAGCGAACTAATGAATAATTTCTCATACCCAGCCATGTTACCTCTTGACAATTCCATATATGGGTGCTTTGTACCCATAATCTGGGAAAGACTAAGGAAATGATTACCCATATGTGCAAGTCCCCAGAGTAGCAATCTCCAATAAAACAGTAAAAGCCATGTCCATGCTTTTAAATTTTCTAGAACTACAAAAGAAATGAATAAATTTAATTTTAAATAATGTATTTTATGTAGTCCCATATACCAAAGCTCTTAATGTATGTAACTAACATAAACTCTTTAATTTGCAAAGTCTTTGGTATAGGTGTGTATTTGACACGTTAAGTACATCTCTATTTGGACCAACCACAGTCCAAGGGCTGAAGCTAACAGGCCTGGGAAATGAGGAAAGGAGGAACCAAGCATTAGGTATTGGTGGAATGAAATGATGTGTGGACTCCTGCCTCTGTGCTGAAACTCATTCTCAGAATCTGTTTCATGGTCTACCTCCGGGTCTGGTTCACCTGAAGATTCTGGGCTGGTGCTGAACACATTCCAGAGGAAGAAAACTTGAGAGAACCCTTCATGGTCCAAGGCATTCTCGGCCTCCAAACTGTGCCTGGTGTTACTAACCTATTTGGATTTGAAGAGTTAATTTTGTGTATTTTCCTTTGCTCGTTTAAAAAGTGAAGCCTCTATCCACTAGGCCAATTATAACAGGATTTTGTGATCTTTATCTTTTGTAACTGAATGAAAATCCATCAATCCCTGTGTTGGGTTTTTTTTCCCCCTATGGACTATTAATCATTTTTCAAGTATGAAAAATATGGGGTTATTTCAGAAAAAATGAGAACACAATGTTGGAACTGTTTTCTTTCACAATTCCAAGATTTGGTTTAAAGATTCTATGGCATAGGAGGCTGCATCCCCTTCCTGTTCATATCTAGGAAATCTAGGAACTCTTCATGAGGAGCTGATGTTTTGTCATGTCATTTCATATGTTATTGATATCTGAACAAGAAACCCTTTACATTTCTCTCATTCTTCTTATGTAATATGTACAAAACTTTAATATTCTGCCCTCAAGAATTAACCAACCCCGGGCAATCATCCTGGGTCCCCACAAAAGAATGTGGCTGAGAGACAGAATGGAGTGGAGTCAGTGGGGTCTGGAATAGAATGAGACACAGGGAGGGCAGAGTTCCAGGGACCACAGGGTGACTGGAGCAAGGTGGAGATGAAGAGATCAGGAACAGGGTGGGAACAAAGGAAAATAAAATTGAAGGGAGGGTGAGGTTCAAGATCAAGGTTAAGAGTGTGAATGTGCTGAACACATTATTTTGGATTTGAAAGAGGCCTCAAGTTGATTTCTTTTTAGATACACTAAACTAGAGGTACATGAAAATGCCATCTATGTCAAAATGATCACAACAAAAATTAGCTGCATGAAATGTCAATGAAACTACTTTTGGAGTTACTTCTTGAGTTACATTCTGATTGGAAGGAAAATGAAAAGCAGACCCATATCCCTAAAGCTTCACAAACCATCCCTAAAATTCTAAATTCTAGTATATGACAAAGGATAATTGATACTTTAGACTCTTTTTCAGAATATGGATTTTTCAGAGATCTATCCCTTTCAATCTCTTTATTTTCTCATATGATGAACTCTCCTGGAGTCTTCCTATCTCTCTCAAAGCTTCAGAAACACCCAAGGAGAGGACCTATGTAGAATATGGACTGGCAAACTTTTTCTGTAAGGAGCCAGTTAGAAAATATTTTGATTTTTATGGAAGATATATTCTCTGTCACAACTATTAAATGCTTTTGTATTTTTAAGAGGAGAAAAAGTTTATTCACTTCTAACAGTTTCAGAGAAGGTGTCAGTCCATAGATAGTCAACTCCATTCCTCTGGGCTTGGAGTTACTTCTTGAGTTACATCATGGCAGAAGGGCATGGTGGAGGAACGCAGTTCAGGATATGGCAATCAGGAAGCAAAAAGAGCTCTGCTCACCAAGCACAAATTATAAACCTCCAAAGCATGTTTCTAGTGACCCACCTCCCTACCTGCCTACAGTTACCACCTAGTTGATCCCTATCAGTGGATTAATGCATTCATTAGGTTAAAGTTCTCTTAATCATCTCTCCTCTAATCTTTCTTGCTCACATGATGATCAGCTTTTGGGGGACACCATATCTCAACCATAGCAAGTATAGAGCCTTCATAAAGGCTCCATTTGTGAATGGGATTAAAGCCCTTGTGAAAGAGTCTTTCTATAGCATTTGACCTGCTTGACCACCTGTCTTTCACCATGTGAGAACAGAAGATTCCTCCCCTCCAGAGGATGCAGTAACAAATGCTGATATTGTATACATAAATGTAAATAAGTGTATTTATATTATGTAAAGAAATCCAACTCTATTTTAATGAAAATATGTAGATTGAGCATTGCTAATACAAAAATCTGAAATCCTAAATGCTTCAAAATCCCAAAAGTTTTAAGCACTGACATGATACAACAAGTGGAAAATTCCACAGTATGAAACTTTGTTTTATGTACAAAATTATTCAAAACATTACATAAAATTGCCTTTGACTTATGTGTACAAGCTATATATGAAACATAAATGAATTTAGTGTTTAGGCTTAAATCTTATCCCCAAGATATTTATCTTTCCCTGCTCCCTTCTCTCTCTCTCTCTCTCTCTCTCTCTCTCTCTATATATATATATATATATATATATATACACACACATAATATATAGAGAATATTTGCATATATATGAATATAAATGTATGTATACATTTATATATAATAGACATAAAAATCTCACATGTTTGAGAATATTTGTGTATATATTATACACAATACATATGTGTCTGTGTGTATATATATATATATATATATATATATATATAATATGAAAATATTCCTAAATCTAAAAATATCCCAAATCCTAAACTCTCCTGGTCCTAAGCATATTGGCAAAACTTATATTTACAAAAGAAAGTGGCAAGTTAAATTTGGTCTGTGGGACTCTAGTTTCTGGGGTGTAAACCAACTCAGTAATGAACAAACATCTGTTTCTTGTCCTTTATTTTGGTAAATTGTCTTCTCTTTGCCCTCTACATTCCCTTAAACACTAAGAACTTTTCTTATTCTAGGATAGTGATAGTAGAAAATAATACAAGTTGATATTTATAAATACTTAACATGCTTAAAACTGAGAGAAGCACATGGTAAGTCTTGTTTGTGTTCCCCAATCTGGTGTGTTATATTAAGGACTGAACTGTGTTCCCTCAAAATTTACAGGTTGAAACTGGAACCCCCAATGTGACTGTAATTAGATTAGGGAAGTAATTCAGTGTTTTAGTCAGCTTTTTATCTTTTGGGACTTAAGAACTCAACCAGAACAATTGTAGAGGAGAAACAGTTTATTTGAGGCCTCATGATGGTTTCAGAGGTCTGCGTCTATAGAAGGCTGGCTCTATTCCTCCCGGCTCAAAGTGAGACAGAGCATAATAGTGGAAGAGTGTGGCAGAGGGAAGCAGTTTACATGATGATCAGAAATCAGAGACTGACCCCACAATCAGGTACAAATATACAGCTCATAGCCACCCCGCCAATGCCCCACCTCCTCCAGCCACACACCACCTGTCTCCAGTTACCACTAGGTTAATCCCATCAGAAATCAATTCACTAATTAGTTTAAGGCTTTCACAACCTAATCAGTTCTCCTTCAGACCTTACATTGTCTCACACATGAGCTTTTGTGGGACACTTCACATCTAAACCATAACATTCAGGCTGAATGAATTCAAAAAGTGAGGCCCTAGGCTGACAGCATTACTGTCCTTCTAATAAAGTGTGAGAGACACCAGGAATCTCTGCTTGTGCACAGAGGAAAGCTCATGTGGATTAAAAAAAAAAAAAAGTCAGGAAGAGCCCTTGCCAAAATCTGAATTTACTGTCTCCCTGATCTTGGACTTTTAACATCCTGAAGTATAAGAAAGTGAATTCCTGTGGTTTAAGCCACCCAAATGTAGTATTCTGTTATTGTAGCCCAAGCCAAATAATATGCTATTCTTTTTCTACTATGATTTGTGATGTTCTTGACTCTGATCAAGGAAGTTCTCATATCTTATCCAGTGAGATTCTAAATGTGTTCTCAAATAACATCTCTGTGGACTTTACTAGTTGATGCATGATATCATAAACTTCTAGAAAAGAAGCAAAACAGAGTGCTTTATTCCCTCCAGGACACCATCCTGGCACACAAATCCATTTTGATTGATCCCTATTGAAATGAAAAGTGCTATCGAAATAATATATGACTATAAATGTTTTTCAGTCATAAAGAATGAACAAAGAAATATTCATAGATAAGTGCCCCATATGCTTAAACCTTTAAGTAGCTTCTGCAATTCCCAAGATGGACTTCAAACTCTTCCTGACACGCTAGGCCTCTGTTCACCTCAAACTTCAAACCTATGTTGCCTTTCTCCCTTTCACAGTGTAATAATTTTCTTGAACATGTTCCCATGTATCATCTCCTACCCATTTGTGTGTGTGTGTGTATGTGTGTGTGTGGAGTGTGTGCACACACGCGTATGGGTATGTTTGTCACAGTGGACCAAAACTAACACCTTGCTTCACAATTGCTCTCCAGCTGAGCTACATCCTCAGCCTGAAGATCTTCTCTATTCACCCTGGTCCTCTTCCTTCCTTTATTCCTTCCATCTTGCAAGGTTCACCCTCCAAACTCTGGACTAATTATTATTTTTTTACCTCTTTACTAGACAAGCTTTTACTCTAGAAGCTTTCCA